CGGTCAACTTGGCTGTGCAATTTAAGAGGCAGAAGGAGGAGCTAACAAACCTCAAAGCCGATCATGATGCACTCAAAGTCGCTCATGCAGGGTTGACTAATGATACGGAAACCAAGTTCAAGTCGATGCTGGAAGACTTTGTGGCCTTCATCGATGCCGTAAAAGGAAACGTAAAGAGCATTGAGGAAGAGATGGCTGTTTTGAAGAGAGCTTTGAACAACCCCTCAACTTTGAACAACCCCTCAGCTCAAGATGGTGCTACCTAAAAAATTAAGGTTCCGAGCCCCGATACTTTCAGTGGTACTCGTTGTTCTAAAGAGTTAGAGAATTTTCTTTGGGACATGGAGCAATACTTCAGAGCTGCCCGAATCCCGGACAATGAGAAGGTGATGATCACAAGCATGTACTTAAGTGGTGATGCAAAGCTATGGTGGCGTACTCGGATGGCCGATGATGCTAGTGCTGGGACACCCCGAATTGCAGATTGGGGCACACTCAAGAAAGAACTGAAGGATCAATTCCTTCCCGGCAACACTGCCTGGGTTGCCAGAGAGAATCTAAGGAAGCTGAAACATACGGGATCCGTGCGGGATTACGTGAAGGATTTCAATTCTTTGATACTTGACATAATGGATATGTCCGAGTCTGACAAGTTGTTTAACTTTTTGTCAGGATTACAGGGTTAGGCGCAAACTGAGTTGCATAGGCAAGGTGTTAAGGATCTACCTACAGCCATTGCCGCCGCGGACAGACTGGTGGACCTTCGGCCCTCAAGTTCTTCGGTTGCTGAGAAGAGTGACGGGAAGAAGAGCAAGCCGAATGTAAAGGACAGTAAGAGGTCCACTGACTCGATGGCAGACGAGTCTAGCAAGTCCAAGGACCAGTTGTCCGTCAAAAAGAGTGAATGCTTCATATGTGAAGGTCCACATTGCGCAAAACATTGCCCCTTGAAGAAGCAGCTCAGTGCCTTACCCTACAAGAGGAAGGTAAAGCTAATGATTCTGATGATACATATGTAGCTTGGGTGAACCCGATGCAATTACTAAATACGATCATGATGGAAAAGCCTACACCGACTAAGGGCTTGATGTATGTGATGGTGCGGGTTAATGGAGTGGAAGTTCGAGCTATGTTAAATACTGGGGCTACCAACAACTTCCTATTAGAGAAAGTCGTAAGGAGTTTGGGTTTGAAGGTGACCCAAAGCGCTTACAAGTTGAAAGCAGTCAACTCAAGGGCGATTAAAGTCGAAGGCACAACTATGGTGACTCTCGGGATTGGATCCTGGAAAGGTGAGTGTAATCTTACCATCGTTTCCCTTGATGATTTTGAGTTAATTCTCGGGATAGAGTTCTTTGTGCGGGCTAAAGTTACTCTAATGCCTTACTTGTTTGGCATATTGGTGGCAGATGAGAAATATCCCTGCTTTGTGCGAGCCGAGAATGAAGGGAAACAACGAGAAATTATGAGGTCGGTATCTACGCATGCTAGCGTAACCCATGTTGGAGCATTGCATGTGATTGAGCCCGATGAGGACGCTGATATAGTCCTTGGCCACAAGACCATGAATTGTGATGAGTATCAACGGCCGGATTACTTGATTCGATGGATAGGTGGTATTGAGATGGATGCTACATGGGAAGGAGATTTCGGAGGGAAAACAAGACTTTGGGCCCCATCCGACGAGGACGTCGGCTTTGAAAAGGTGGGGGAGGGTTTGTTAGACCCTTAAATACGAGACACGGCCACGGCACACTGAAGACCTTGCATGGTGCCATGGGCTGAGGTAAGGGTGTGAAGATCACCCAAGAGAGTTGCAAGGCATGAGGATGTTGCAGACCAAGGCCGGGCCAGATGGGAGCAACAAAGGAGATAGGCGTGCTGACAGGCAGCAGTGCGCCCATGAGATTAGATGTCGCGCGTACAACGCACAGACAGTGCGCGCTGGCAGGAGACAGTGCGCGCTGGCAGGAGACAGTGCGCGCTGGCAGGAGGCAGCGCGTGCATACGGGCAGGACCGTACGGGCAGTGCGCACTGGCAAGAGGCAGCGCGCACGCGCACGGGCAAGGCAGACTGTGCGCATAGGTAAACCTTGGCGGACTAATTCAGACAAGGTCCGAAATACACACGGGTGGGCCGCATGGTGTGCTGACTAGGCACAGGCATGGACCCTTGGTGCTGTTGCGAGATTCACGGCTTTGTGGACGTTGTGGTGCGGTACAATGGCTAAGTGGGGCGCGAGATCCGCGGGAGTGGATCACTGGTGGCGCAAGATTGTGGGGTCGACTCAGTCAAGTGGTTAGCTGGACATGTGCGAGAGTTGGGCGCCATGTGGACCCTTATCTAAGCAGAGCAGATCATGGGGCGTGCGCGTGTGCCAGGTGGCGTGCCCAACAGAGTGACTTGCTGCCCATGACCGAGAAACATGGCCGAGTGGGTCAAACCGAGTTAGTGGCTTAGAGATAAGCCTGAGTGAAGCTATCACGTGCAAGGGGACGTGTTAGTGGGATTTTGTATGCGCCTATGTGTGAGGACACGTGGTGGGAGTTGGTGAGCCAACTAAACCTAAGTGGCTGGGGTTGTCAGCCTTACTTGTCTATAAATAGAGTGGCCGGGCTACTGTTGAGAGGGGAGGGAGGGGATTTGAGAGAGAATTCTGAGTGTGTAATCCTACAGCAAGCCTTAGCCTTGTGTATTCCTTTTATACGAGATTAATAAAGGGTTGGAAAAGAGTTTATGTAAATTGAGTGTTGCTTGTGTTCTATTGTGTTCGGTTTTTTGGCTAACCTTTGTAGTGCAGGAATTGGCTTGCTGAGTCTTGGTGACTTGGTCAAATATTCCGCTGAAAAAGTTGGCCCTGTGACACAAAACCACTACAGCACCGAGGACAAACTTAGAAAAAACAAAAGCACCCCTGCCATTAATATAACCGAGTCATTCAAAAAGCATACAAATAAAAGACGACTGATAAAAGTTCACCGTCCGAATCCAGGGTACACCGTTGTGCTCATACACTTTATAATGATAAACTACGGCATACACATGTTAAGCCCATCCAAATTCATAAAACCCAGTATAGAACAAACGAGTCCATTCCAAATTAACAATAAATATGAAAATTATATTCAATTAGAACATTGTCTTACATCAATGTTTTACAGTTAAATCATATGATCAGAAAAAGGCAAAACAGAGGCACCTATCTAATTCCTCTGGTGATACACAGCAAACGAAGCCTTAACAAAATCAAATTCACTTCCTTATTTTTACACAGCACATAAACGCCAAGAAGAGAACTATAGATACTGGGCGGGCTGCGATGTCAAAAAATTTCCCAGAACTAGAAAAATAAAACACAATACGCTATATTCTACTGATAGCAATTTCATTCACAAAAAGCACTAATATATGCTATATTCTACTCATAGCAATTTCATTCACAGAAAGCCCTAATCCTCAATCAGTACGTAGTACTACTGCCATGCCTCCTACGAAAATCTCCCATTCAAAAGACCACACATGCTGCAGATCGAAAATATCCCATTCCATCTGTTGATCTTTACATACAAATATGAATAAGGTGAGGATCACATACCGTTACAGAGTTTGAGTCTGAAGACGAGATGAAGGACACCGCCGGCAGAACTCCAAACGCAGATGAAGGTGTTTTGGATTTTTTCAATGACCTTCTGTTTCCTCCCCGGTAAAGGCGAGAAATGGCCTTACTTTCGTAGTATCGGCGAAATTGGTGCCGAATGTGGAGCTTCCGTTGATTGTTCACAAGCACCCCTTTCCTCGAAGCGCTTCTCATCAACTCAGAGAAGAGGAAGTCGACCGTGATATGGGCTGTTTATCCGCTCAATACGCGAACAAATGAGGGAACAGGAGTGAACATTTTGAAGAGAGGTGAAAAACTGCCGAGAAAGGCTGAGGAGATTCTCTGCTCAACCACGCGAGAACCGAAACGCAGAGAAAGGCTGGAGATTCTCTGGCCAAGAGAGAAAGACGTGGTCGGTAGAGTTGGGTGGGGTCATTACTCGAGGGAAGCACAGTGTTGTTCACTGTGCTCTTAGGTTCCAACGGGCTGAATCAGGGGATTCCAAAATCAGGACTCAAAATCAGCACGGTATGATCTAAAATGTCACATCTGATTCTAATCTAATTGTATGATTCTGGGTTTCTAAACATGAGTATTCCATTTCAAAAAAAAAAAAAAAAATTAACGACTACCATCATAAACATCATGCTTAAAAAATCAGTGTATCGTCTCTCTATTTGCAGTATGATGGCATCCATAGAAAAAATTCCATTAAAAGAAAAACCCCATTAACGACAACCATCATAAGCATCGTGCTTAAAAAATCAGTGTATCTTCTCTCTATTTGTTGGGTTTCTTACTGCAAAGAAACTCGTTTTTGGAAGAATTACTATATTTGCATCACAAATCACAAATCACAAAAATCACAAGAAAAGTGGATACAGAGCCATGGAAGAGTAGGAGGGAAAGTAACGAAAATTAAAAATTGATAAGAAAAGAAACAGGGTGCACATGTTCAGAATTTTTTTTGAGTGAGAAAGTCGCTTGTTTCGCGGAGATCAGGGAATTGAAATGTACTTTATTTGCTATTTTCTTTAAGTTGTCCTTTTTCGTCATTTTACTAATTAAGGGGTGTATTTATATTTTTTGAGGGTGTGAATTTAGACCCTGTTCATTTCGCTGATTCGAGTTTAGAATTCGAGTTTTGCTACAGTAAAAAGCTCTCACAAACAATCACATCTAACTTTTTTACTACAGTAAAAAGCTCTCACATAAAATCACATCTCAACTCGAATTAAAAACTCGAATCAACAAACTAAACGGGCCCTAATTTCCCATAAATAAACACCAGATAAAGGATTGTAAGTTTGGCCTGGTGCTGGTGGTAATTCCAGTCACCTTAACAGATCTATCAACATGACGTAATTTAGAAGAATTAATTAATAATAAAGTCTTCTTGGGAATTGGGATCTCAAAAATGTTTAGCAATTTAGGAAAGATGAAACTAGGAAGCTCAAGTTGCTCATGACAACATTGCCTGCAGCATTCTTGGCGCATAACACATTCATGGCCAGCAAGTTGGATTTGTATTTCATCTTATAGGACTCGTTTAGGGAAAAGTGTCATGATGATGTATAGACTCCTGAATGCTTTCCATGAATAGCAAAAAAAAATGGTGGATTTTTCTAAAAGAAGAAAGAAACTGCTTTATACTTTACATCATGTTATAACTACCGAAGTATGGTGATACTGGGGTCTCATCATGTAGGCAATGTCCTGAGCAAATGAAGTGCCCTTGTCCACTGTGGTCTTTGTGAAAGAACAATCCTCCTCAAAACCGGCACTGCTCCGGCAGCCACAATTTCCAAATGATTCTCACTGTCCATGCTCAGATTATACAGTATTGCCAAGCCTGCTTCGACTGCCCTATCGCTCCCTTCTTCGATCAGCTTCACCAAAGGAGATATCCCTCCCTCGGAAGCAACAGCTCGAGTTGAATCAATGACTCCCTCGGAGATTATTCTGTTGAGTTCTACCACGGCAGCTTCTTTTGCTTGTAGAGAGGAAGATGTTTTCAGTTGCCTGATGAGTCTTGGTATCGTCTCGTAAAGGGTTACCTCCACGTTGATTGATTCCTTGAGATTTGGCTTGGGACCCGAAAGGGAACCAAGTTTGACTAAGCAAGCAGCAACCCAATCTTTACAGTTAAGAGGGATGCTAGACTTGAGGATATCACGTAGCAACTTCATGAAATGGCGGGAATTTATATTGCGGCAAAATTGCTCGGAATCAAGCAGTTTTGTTAGTAACCGAGAGGCTGCAGAAATTGCAAGACCGGCTTCTTCTACTTCAAGTGCATATTTTTCTGGCTCCTTTCCCTCTAAATCAGAGTCTGTGTCTGCACAAAATTGGAAATACAAAAAATCAAACATCTGAGCACAATCAAGCATTGAACTAATATTACCAATGAGAAACAATAGCTTTACTTGTTACTTCTTAGTAGTACAATAACAAAAGGACAGTGACGGGTCAAAGTAGCATTAAATTTCAAAGCTCAAAAGCTCCAAAACGCAAAAAGACAGCAACCAAACATAGGTGACTAGAAGCTCAAGCCTCAAAATAGTTATAATAATTGAAAAAAAAAAAGAATCCTAAACAAAAAAGTTATTTGAATTTTTACTCACTAATCACTTTCCTATCGACTGTCGAATGGCATTACACTACGAATAACAAGCAAAGGTTACAATCTGAGAAGGAAAAATAATAGATATCTAGAGGAAGTGGCCTGCACTAGATTAGTGAACAAAAAAATAGAAATGTAACAATTTAGTATCAAGACGAAGCAATTTTTTGGCTGAAGACAGCAGGGTTATAATTACAGGGGAGCAGGACGTTTTCATAAATAATTGTCGGGCATTGTACATTCTCTGTGTGGTATATGTTCTACATGGTGAAACGCCATTACCCCAACCATTACGCAAACATAGTTTCGATCTTACCTAGATCAGACTTAGGCGTTCAAAGACAACAGAACTGGCCGAAAATAACACAATAACATGAAAGTAGTTCAATTATAGTGGTTCACTGATTCAATAACAGCTGCAAACCAATCAGAAAATTACCAGTTTTACCGGAGTAATTTTGTCCCTTTACCTTTAAGAACTTTTTGCTGGAAAACCGTATCCAGAGCAGATTCGATAGCCACTGAAATGACCATATCCATAGTTGGGTCAGTGATTGCAATGAATTCAAGAATGGAAGCAGCTTTCCTCTGTAAGTTTGGAGCTGATGTCTTTAAAATCTCAACAAGGCAAGCGATGACAGCAGAGTCCAGCACACTTTTCCTGTGTGCAATACATGAAATATAAAATACAACTTTAACCGGGCAGGACTACATAACTGCCAACATAATATTCTTGTATCATATAGGTCAACTTCGAAAGAACTTAGTCCAATTTGAAAAACATTTTAAGTTCATGCATTCGAGCAACAAATGATCAATCCCTATGAATGGAAAACTAGATAAGTAGAAAAGAGGAAGAAAACGTATCAGGTTATTCACCAAGAACAGAAAGAAGATAAATAAGATGATTATTATTTAAATTTGATCTTGCAAGTATTTGCAATTGAAATATTGTTTATTGCATCAAGGATTAACTTTCTGAATTTAGTATTCTGTTCCTATCTTGACCACCAAATGATCCAAAATAAAAAAACAACTCATTGCGATCATAACCAACTAAATTTAGTTTTGATCAATAAACAACTTTCTGAATTTAGTTTTCTCTTGCATTCAAACAACTTTGAGTTTAAGGTCACCGAACCATGTGAAAACCACTTATACAATATGTCTCATGACAGGTCCAGACGAATTGAGCAGACGCACAATGTGCAGTGTTGTTAAAACTGCCATTGGCTTTATAAGCTACTTGTTTGAATGTTGCAGAAAACAAACACCATCAACGCAAAGAAATATATTGGCATTACAAATATAGAGATGAATAGCTAATATACTTGCTCAGTTTTTTTTTTTTTTCTTATAATAAAATACTCAGTTTTTTAAATTCTTTATTTCAAATTAAGATTAGCCAAACATGTACTACGATATTGTAATTATCACCCAAAGAATGTATATGTATTATAAGGCAGTTCACAGTTAGAAAAACTAAAATCCCAATGTAAGGAGGTGAAAAGAACAGAAGAAACCTGGTGTTTGTTTTTGGAATGTCTATCTCAGTCATATCTCCATTATTTTCCCTGGGGCGATTAGAGTTTCTTGCTTCATCCAATCCCTTATTTGATCCATTGACTGGTCCATCATAAAACTGCAAAGAATCAATACAATTTTATAAGTTAGTCGTCATCTACAAGCTTTCATAACAGGTCACAAGAGGCAACTGACTGACCTTTGACCTCATTTCTTTACTAGGGTCTAAGATCCGAGCAAGAATATCCAAGGTCTGTATTGCAACAACGATCTATGTCATTTCAGAACCAGCATAAAATAATTTTCCAACTTACGTGTGGTAATCAAAAACTATTATTATATAAAAACCTTTTCCATCAAATTATCCGAAATATCGGGGCACCTCAGAGTGTCAATTAAAGGATCCATAACACCTTCAGCTTCAATAGCCTGGCAAACACCATTGCTGCATCAAGGAAAAATAGAATATTAAATCCATACTATATGATTACTTTTGGGTAGAAGGATACTTGTGGATTTTCTATGCTTAAACAGAGCATTTTGGATAAATCAAAGGTGAAAGGTCAATGCTGGGCTTTGTGCTCTTTATGATAATCATGGGGCCACGAGAAAAATTTCCAGGCAGGAAAAGACCAGTTAATAGGACATGTGTCAATCTCCAATTGGTACCAAATGCGCAGACATGAGAATACATCCAACAATAAAATATGCTAACATCATTTCGGGCAGATAGCCATTGCAGGGGTTAGATTATGCCCAGAATTAACTGAAATGAAGACGTCAGAGATAAATCTGCAGGCAAAAGTTACAAAATAAGATAGCAAAATGTTGAAGCGAGGTGGAACGATGATAGCATACCTGACAGATAACCTCTCCAAAGGTCGAATTGCAGACAACTTTACAGCATGATTGTTATATTCCAAAAGCCGAACTAAGTGCTTTACTGCTCCAGCTTCCTTGAATGCAAACCGCATGTCTTCATTAATAGACGCATCTGCAATTGACTCTGCAGCTCTGGATAATGCCGACTCGTCCTGAAGTTCAAGAATTAAAACCAAACGAGCCACGCCATCCACCCACGGCAAAAGGGTAAGTTGCTGACCAGATAAAAGTTCAGATTCTTTTTTCCCATCTTCTGTTTCAATGGCCCCAATACGTGCGAGAAACTGTTGCTGTGTCCGTCCAACTATAGCATTCATCTTGACTTCGTCAATATTTACAATCTTGTCATCAACATTTAAACCAAGGAGTAATTCCGAAGCACCGAACCTGGAAGGAGTTTTTGAAGTCCGCTCAATCTCAGTACCATCTGGCAATCTAGGCCAGGAATGCAAACCTGGTCTGAAGGACTTGTAAGCGGCTGCACCAATTAAGGGGACGGGTAGCAGGCCTTCCTCTATGATAAGAATTCTGTAATAATCATCCTTAGATAGTTCCAACAACGCATTTCTTGCCACCTTTCTAATTACTTTAGATCCTTCATCATCATTTTTCAAGAACTTCACCTGCAGTTGATGTTCAAGGTAATCAATCCCCAGAATATCATAACCAAACATTAAAATAAGATTACTTTTTACCATCTTTTTGAAATCCAATTATTTAGCTTCTCTATGTAAACAAATACCAGATCAACTCTCATATGCCAAATACCATGAGAGGTAAAACCAGAAAAGCTGTTCATCGATTTGATCGTTCAAAACAAATTTCTCCATAAGGATGATAAAATAAGTCTCACCAATTTCGGAATAACACCTTCTTCAACCATGATTTTGTGGTTGACCTGGCTCAATGCTAAATTTGATAAAACCCCTCCCGCTGCTTCCTTCACCTTTATATCCTCGTCGTCAAGAGACTTAACAAGTATTGGCAAGATATCAATGTTAGCAATTTTCACCCGAAGCTTTTCATCCACTGACAAGTTCCATAAAGTACATAGGCTTTGCTCCTTCACCTGAAGATTATGCTCAACTTGTACATCATCTTTTAACATCAGCTTCATGAATGGAAATTCAAAGGTTAGATACCCATCTCATACCTCAGAAATCAAGGAAGGTCGATTTAGTAAGCCAGTTATCTCCTCGATTGCTCCACTTTCTGCCACCAAATCTTTGTACAGATTAACCATAGATATTGATCGTAGAAGACCAGCAGCTGCTTCACATGTTGAAGTAGATTCTGATCTAAGCAGGTTTACGGTGAGATTAATAGATCCAGGAAACTGCATGATGGCATCAATGTACTTCTTTCCTCCAAGTGAATATTTCCATAGAGCCACAATTGCCTGCTCTCTATCAAGGGGGTCATTATCTAGTCCAAGCATCCGAACAAAAAGGGAAACATAACCATCACCAAGACTAGATGAAGAAATGTTTACTTCTTCAACATCCTGAATTTAAAAAGGAAGATGTATTACTATAGAGCCTAATCAGTTACAAAATTATCATCCTCAATCAAATACATATGATTGTAGAAAACACATCTATCGAAGCTAATGAGTAACTCTTGATTGCGTACAAGTACAATTTGATGATCCCATGACAGATGCCAATTGAAGTTTAAATGTGCTAGGAAAAAGATATATGGATAAGATTAGCAAAGGCATTTCGAATACAAAGATCTGTGCTATACTAGGTCCATCTCAATTCTTAATAACAAGCATATAATATAAGTAAAATATACCCCGCAAATATACAAGTTGAAACAAGTAGTAGGTTACAGATTTCAATGAGCTTAACAATTGGCACTCTCCCAAAAAAAAAAAAAAAAGAGCAGACCCCATTGAAGACAAGAGTGAGGTACAACAAGGCCATTTCTGTCCACCGCCAAAAGTTGGAATAAGTTCATCTTTAGCATTATAAACTATTACAGACTAGTCAAACGTCATTTTTGCAGCATTACATTCCATAAGAGTTTGCCCGAAGACCTCTTCAAAGCCACCATTTTCATCTAAGGCCCTAATTTCTTCCACCAGTCCACACCACCTTCTACTGCAAAAAGTCTGCTATATATATATATATATATATATATATACATACATACATATATATACAACCAATTTAAACTCCAGTTCAAGTCCAATACTTTTCCGCCTCGCCATATCCAAGAAGTCCAAAACACAAAACTTTACAACAAAAGTCAATATGCAAATCAAAAAACCTTAATGTGAGCAGCCAAATATCAAACTAAAATGACCAACTAACAGAAACCATAAAACCGTAGCATCCCACTTCTTCAATCAACATGTTTAAAAGAAACCAGCTGAGAACAATTACAAAGTAAACCCCAATTCTAAGCATGGCAAAAAAGACCCGTACCGAAAAAAAAAAAAAAGTCTCAGAACTTACTGGAGATGTAGGCTGCTGTGAAAAGGAACCAACCCCGCCACCACCATCATTCGTGGCCCTTGCGATGACTGCGCGGCCAAAGAGTGACTTGAGGTTGTTGAGTTTATGATGATAGCGAATATGAAGATGATGATTTTGATGTTGATGATGATGATTATGATGTCTTCTTCTTCTTGCGGGTGGTTTTGTGGCTTCAACTCCAGAAAACTCAAAGTGGGCATTTGTGGGCAGGCGTTGGAAGAGGCAAAGCTTCACACTCAAGGTCGCTGGAACTGCTGAACCCAACATTTTTGTTCTGCAGATAGCTTCTTTCCAGTTAAAAAGTTTTTTTTTTTTTTTTTTGGTGGAAAGAAGAAGATGACTTGTTGGGTTCTTGACACCCCTGTTCTTGGTGACAGACAGATAGACCGTCCCTTGGGAGAGTTGCTTGTTTCCTGCGAGGGATACGCCTCTTTCTGTTTGAGCGAGGGATTGAATGTACTAGAACCACAGTAACAACTAACAATGATGGAGAATTGAACTCTTTAAAAGAAAAAAAAGAAAAAAAAAAAAAAAAGAGAGAGGATATATCGTTGTTGTCGTCGTTAGGAGCAACAGGCCTAAACTTTGCTCACTTTTGCATTTAGGCCCTTAATTTTGTTTCCTAACATTTAAATCCTTAAACCTTTTTTTTTAATAAGTATGCTTAACCTTTTAGTTACTGCTCCTTCTCCAAGTGATATTTTCACGCGTTTTATGTTTATAGCACTTTTTTAAATAAAAAATAAGTTTAATTATAAAATTTTTCTCCCGAACTATAACTATTATAACACTTTATTTTTTAAACTTGTATGTATAACCGATCTCATAAATTTTCCTTATGTTATTTTGAGTGACGAAAAGTACTATATGAATGACTTGTGACACATAAATTGAGGATGCTATTATGAAACCCATTGTGAGAGTCTTTGTTGTGTTTTAGGGCAACATTAGAAAGGGAAAAGAATTCCTCAAAAAAAAAAAAAAAAAAAAAAAAAGGGAAAAGAACCTAAAACCAAGTTAAGTGGAACACGTTTGGGTTTTTAGGGCTAGAGCACTCCAGGAAAATTTGACAAAAAATTGATGAAAGCTTGAAGCTCCATTGCAATCAACAGTGTTGGAGCACTCCTAATGGCTGCAACAGAGGGAAACAATAATTACTTTTAATTTTCGTATTCCCACTACTGTTGCGGCTACTTGCTATTGATGGATACAGTTTAATCCTGCAAACAAGATGCTGGGAAAAGAAAATGGAGTTCCACTAATTATAACTAAATGTTCATAATGACTAGGTGAGTGAAAAACATAATTGCGCACTTAATACTTAACTAACCATAGTTAACTAAGTAACACGTGTACTTTTTGTCACTCTAGATAACAGAAGAGGTAAATTTATTAAATTAATAGATTGATATCTCAATCTATAAATAACATTAAATAAGTATCTCATATTTAAAAAAAAAAAACAGATGAATACCTCGAGTTATTTTATTTTTTCTGACATAATATTCTTTCCTCCCTTTTTGAACGGCAATGAAATATATTCATTAAAAAAATCACTAAAGGGTTAAGATACAAGCTAACACTAAAGTCAAAAAAACGGGTGCCACTCACATGACTTATAAAGAAACTTGCTCAGAAAGAATGTTTGAAGAATTCTGTATATTATTGAATATTGTTACAGTAACTTGTTTATATATAAGTTACAAGTAGAAACTAAGCTAACAGAAAGCTTACACAACAAGATAGTAAACTAACTAATAGCAAAGCTTACTCAGCAAGATAACTTGCTGTATAAGCTCTTCAGTAAGCTTAACTCTAACACTCCTTAACAGCCCCCACAAACTTAAAGTAGCAAGATTTTCTACTTTGAGTTTGCTCTGTATATGACTAAAAGTTGAGCTTGAGATGGCTTTAGTGAAGATATCAGCTAATTGATCAACTGCAGGCACATGATGAACATCAACTTGTTTCCTCATGACTTTTTCTCGAACAAAGTACAAGTTCAACTCTATATGCTTGGTTCTTGCATGTAAAATTGGATTTGTTGCTAAATGAACTGTACTAAGATTATCACACTAAATAACTGGTGTCTTTGGTGCAGAAGAATTTAACTCACTCAAGAGAGATTGCAGCCAGGATATTTCTGCTACTATACTAGCTAGACTACGATACTCAGCTTCTATAGATGAACGAGACATTGTATGCTGCTTATTTGATTGCCATGACACCATATTTGGACCAAGGAAAACACAAAAGCCTGAGGTAGACCTTCTGTCATCAACATCTGACGCCCAACCAGCATCACAGAAACCAACAAAGTCCAAGCTTGCTGCAGGACACCGTCTCAAATGAAGACCATAGTCAATTGTGCCAGCAAGATATCTCAAAATTCTCTTTACTGCTTTCCAATGTACTTCCAATGGTGCTTGCATAAACTGGCAAATTTTGTTGACACTAAATGAGATTTCTGGTTTTGTAATTGTCACATACTGTAGAGCACCTACCACACTTATGTACAACTGAACATTGCTTACTGGATCACTACCAAAGGAAGTCAACTTTTGTCCTGTTGTCATGGGAGCACAGACACTTTTGGCATACTGCATTTTTGTTTTACACAGCAAATCTGTTGCATACTTTTTCTGAGACAGGTGAAGACCTTGAGTAGTTTTGGTAACCTGTATACCTAGATAGTAATCAATTTCTCCCAGATCTTTGAGAGCAAAAGCAGTATTAGGTTGATTAGACAATTGTTGGATAGCTAAGTCATTAGTCCCTGTGATTAATATATCATCCACATAAACAAGGATGTATAGTGACCACTGCGGGCTGATTTGATTGAAAAGTGATCTATCAGATTTGGCTGAGTGAAAGCCAAGCTTGAGCAATGCATGATGAAGTTTATCAAACCAGGCTCGAGGAGCCTGTTTCAAACCATAAAGGGACTAATGTAGTTTACACACCAAACTTGGATTCTGTTGGTCAATAAATCCTGTAGGTTGTTCCATGAAAACCTTCTCTTGTAAATCTCCATTTAAAAAGGCATTGTTCACATCAAGTTGCCTCACAGACCATTGTTTACTCAATGCTAAAGTGAGTATAACTTGAATAGTGGTTGGTTTGACTATTGGACTGAAAGTTTCAGTAAAATCAAAACCTGCAACTTGATGAAACCCCTTTGCAGCAAGTCGTGCCTTATACTTGTTTATGCTTCCATCAGGATTCTCCTTTACTCGAAAAACCCGCTTACAACCAATGGCCTTTCTCCTAGGGGGTAATGCAACAAGACTTCAGGTGTTATTTCTTTGAAGAGCATGGAATTCATCGGTCATGGCTTATTTCCAATGTTCTAATGTAAGAGCCTCTTCAACTGTACTAGGATCTCGTGTGGCCATGTACACTTGGGTTTGAAAATCCCTTGTTTAGAGCGTGTTACCATGGAATGAGGAGGCAGTGACTTAAACTGTCAAGATTTTGCAGTGTGATGCTGGTGCTGCACACAAGGATTAGGATTTGGAGCTGAGATAAGAGAGGAAGGTGCTGTGACAGTAATTGGTTCACTAGCTGAGGGAATAGTAGAAGAGACTGGTGCTGGAACAAATTGAAGAGAAGGAGAAGAAGGAGCTACAAGAGGTGAGAGAGAAGAATGAGATGGAAAAGATGACAAAGAAGGAATCACACTAAGAGGTGCAGGTAGAGAAGAAGAGCTAGACTGAACAAAAGTAGAGGCAACAACTTTATTATGATTGACAAAAGGAAAAGAAAACTCATCAAATATGATATCCCTTAAAATATAGATTCTCCCATATGGATCTAACCATTTATAGCCTTTATGTTTGATGTTATACCTAAGGAAAGTACATGGTGCTGACCTAAATTGTAATTTGTGTCTGTTGTAGGGTCTAGTGTTTGGATAACATGCACAACCAAAGACTTTAAGTTGTGAATAGGCAGGTTTAGTGTGAAAGAGAACTTCTAAAGGTATTTTATTGTGAAGTGTTAATGTTGGAAGTCTGTTTATGAGGAAGACGGAGGTGTGAAAAGCTTCATCCCAATATTTAAAAGGCATGGAAGCTTAAGCAAAAAGAGTTAAACTAGTTTCTACTATGTGTCTGTGTTTACGCTCAGCAACACCATTTTGTTCATGGGGGCAAGGGTGTGTATGTTCCATACCATTTTGGACAAGAAAGTCTGTAAAAGCTCAATATTCACCTCCCCTGTTAGTTTGAACACTTACCAATGTTTTGAAAATGATAAAAGCTTGTAATGCTTCAGATTTGGTTCGAAGAAGATATATCCAAGTAAAACGAGAATAGGCATCAACAAAATGAATATAGTATCTATATCCACTAGAAGACAAAGTAGGTGAGGGACCCCATAAATCAGAATGAACAAGCTGCAACGGTTTAGTGTAAGTTGTTTGAAAAATTAGAAAATGCAGTTTATGAATTTTACCAAGACAACAAGATTTACAAACAGCAAAGGAAGTTTTATTAATGGCGGATCTTATCTGCAGGATGACCTAACCTGTTATGCCAAAGCTCAAAATGAGAAGGTCTAACAACATTGTCGGTATAAGCATGTATAACAGGAATAGAAGATTTAAAGTTGTTGGAAACAGAAGAACAAGAAGAAGAAACAGGTTGAGAAGCAATTTAACCCAACGACTTGAGATTGAGCTGGGAGTTGTCAAAAACATAGAGACCATCTTTAAGACAACCCTTTAGCAGCACCTCCTTTGAAGTTAGATCTTTGACAAAACAAGAAGTAGGGTGAAACTCAAAGAAAACTTAATTATCAGCTGTAAATTTTGAGACACTTAAGAGATTTTTACGAATTTCAGGAACAAGTAGTAAGTGTTTGAGAGTTAGAGACTTAGAAGAAACAAAAGGACTAAGAAAAACAGAAGATCCAATACGTTTAGTATACAGCCCCTTACCATTGCCCATGTGCACCTGATCAGAACCATAGAATTCAAAACTTGACATGAGATTAAAAGGATCTGCAGTCAAGTGATTTGTAGCACCTGAGTCAGGATACCACTCCATATCAGAAGATGTATCTATATACCAGGCTGAATCAGTTATAGCCTCAAAAGTAGCAAGCATAGCTCCCATCTGAGCAGAGTCAATTGTTGCATTAGGAGAAGTTGGACCCTGACACTGAGCAAGACTACCTTGAAGTTGATGGTGAAACTGAGAAGGGCCAGTGAAAGATTTGTCAAACTGATAATAACACTGCATCACCATATGACCTAGTTTTCCACATAGCTGACACTGAACTTTATTATTGTTCCAAGAATTTCCTCGACCACGACCATTAAACCTCCCTCTGCCATTGGTGTTAGAACTTCCAGAAAAATAACTCTGTCTGGAAGAAAATCCTCTAGAAGAATGACCAGGAAATGGAGAGAAGGAACTTCCATTATGTGAAGAAGTATGAGGAAAATGACTAAAACTAGAACCCCCAAACCTCGAGTAAGAATGAGGTCTACCACCAGCCATGGCTAGATTAGCAAATGTAGGACCACTAGTAGAATTAGAGCCATCACTTAGCTTAACAGCCTTCTCAATTCAAACTTCTTGAGCCAGAATTAGAGATTCAACCTCCTCAACAGAATATTCACCAAATCCAGAATTCACACTAATCACTAAAATGTCATACTCATAAGGTAAACCATTAAAGATTGCATCAATGTGATCCTTAGTAGCAATTGCATGTCCAACTAAAGCAAGTATATCAACAAAATATCTAATCCGAAGCAGATATTCGTTAACAGTTAAAGAATATTTACTAACATTTTGCAATTGAGTCTTGAACTGAGATTTCTTAGTTCGAATTTGCGAAGTAAAATATACCTCAATTGTGTGCCAGACCTGAGCTGCAGTTTCACAGTTAACCATACGAGCAAGAACTAAGTCTGTCATGGAAGCCAGCATCCAAGACACGAGCAACTGATCTTGCTACTCCCACTCAAGAAATTCTGGATTGACCACGCGAAGAAGTTCATCCTCTAGAGAAAGAAACCTCAGAGGAAATCTCGCATAACTTGAAAGAAAATCTTGAAGGCGATGACCTCGAACAATAGCAAGAACTTGTCACCGCCAAACAAGAAAATTGTTATTGTCCAGTTTTGAGGAAATTGGATGTGAAAAAGTAAGTGGAGTAGAACGAGAGAAAGAAGAAGAAGAGTTTGTTGGCACAGCTGCCACAGCTGCAGAAGCATCTCCCATGGCAATCACCGAAAAAGATATCTGTCATCGACAAGAATGGCTCTGATACCATATAAAGAAACTTGCTCAAAAGAATGTTTGAAGAAATTTGTATATTATTGAATATTGTTACAATAACTTGTTTATATATAAGTTACAAGTAGAAACTAAGCTAACAGAAAGCTTACTCAACAAGATAGTAAACTAACTAACAGCAAAGCTTACTTAGCAAGATAACTTGTTGTATAAGCTCTTCAGTAAGCTTAACTCCTAGACTCCTTAACATGACTAGATAATATAAACACACCTCTATCACAAAAACGGGAGAGAATTCCTCCACAAAGTGGCACTAGAAAAAGGTTCGGCCACATAGAAAAGACTCAAGATGAGCCACATCCTAGTCCAACAATTGACCTAAATCACACAACTCAGTCTTCGAGTGGTAGGGAAACCACTCTCTATCTGAGAGACACATCACAGACATAGAGTAGTGGAGAGACCACCCTCTAGCTGAGACATAATGTTGGTAGATGGGGAAAACATCACCATTATTACAACACAAACATAAACAAAAACCACAAAAATATTAAAACATCTATAAAGATCTCAAACGATCAACCAACAAGATTGAACCCCTCAACACCAAAAATATACGATGACCGGTAAGAACGGCTTCAGGAAAAGGCTTCCTCGCCTCCCTTTTTCAACCTAGTTCTCATAGTTTCAGCAGAATCCCGAAGCGGACTCATTCTAGATTTGTGTTGAAAAGCAGCAGACTTTTCCCCTTACACGGCTCCAAACCGGAGACTTCCCACACCTCCAACGGTACGAACTCGACCACGGTGACCTTTGCGACCTTCCCCGTAGTAACATACAACATGAGGAGCGAACCACAAAGCAAAATCAAGCTCAGATTTGCCAAGATTCATCTTACCCATGGAGGAGCACCACCCACCTGCAAAACAAGGAAAAACACAAAAAGAAAAGCAAAAACTAACAGGGCTGGGAGGCTAGAGATTGTCAGGATGCGACTCAGTCAACTCCGGCCCCTACAAAATGCAGACATGTCGACAACCTCTTGAGAGGGAAAACCCTAGCCACACAGGGGTGAGAGAGAGAATAGAGAAGTTTATTTTCAAAATCTATAATTGTAATATTATTTCCTCTCTTTTAGTTTAAAACATAATAAAAAGAATTTAAGAAAAAGGAGAGAGAAAAAAGAAAACCCAAATCACCATAAAAATTTATTTTAAAAATTAAAAAGACAAAGGAATTTTTTTTTGTTTCTTGATTTTTTTGTTATTTCTAAAACTTTTTGTTAAAAAATTAATTTAGAATTATAAATTAAACGAGCACAATAGACTATTTATATTTATGAGATGTTTGCTTATTACGACAGGGAATCGGTATAGGAAATGAGAATCTAATTTTATTTGCATTTCTTTATCTTGTAATGAGAGTTGGAAAGGTGAAGCTATACAAATAGGGATTAAAGAATAAGACTGTCAATCTCATGCCAATCTTCTCAATGGAGACTCTCAATTTTGATAGTAATATTGTATTACTATTTCACGGCTAACTTACATAAATGCTGGATTAAAAAGAAAAGACAAAAAAAAAAAAAAACCCGGCTAACTTACAAAAATGCTGGATTAAAAAAAAAAAAAAAAAAAAAAAAAAAAAAAAAACTATAACCTACATTTGTTCTTTCACTTACCTAATATTATAATGTAAGCTAATTTTATTTACTTTATTATAATAAACATATAATTTATTGTCATTAAAATAAATTTCATATATTTAATTTTTGACGTTTTTTTTTTAGTTTTTTTATTATTGTATTCAAGTTTTAACACCACTTCTTATAACGAAATCTAATACGATTTTAGCATCATGAACAACATCACGGTTTAGATGTCTCATAATCAACACAGAGGGCAGACCCCACCTCTACTGAAAATAGAGGATCAGAAATCACTTATAAACATCTCTCCTGGTATTTTTCTTTTGTATTTCATTTTATTCTCCAAGGGCGGGCCCAGCCAAACGCTTTTTCCCTGCCATGAAACTAAGATAAGAGAACACACAACAAACTAAAAGCCTCCAAAATGAGTTGCTCAATCAGCTTCCATATCCCCAAGGCTTTGCCTTCTCTAGGCCTTCCTCAGCGCAGAAATCCTCTCTCCGTTACTTCTAAACACTCCCATTCCTGCACCGCCAAGCTTAATCAAGAGGTATAGAATTTATCACTTTTTGTTTTGGTCACTCATGTTTCCAATATTTCTGGATTACAAGCTTTTGGTATAATTGTTAATTCTTTGACCCTTTGGTTTTAGACAATGGCAAGCATAATTCAAAAGCCAGTTGAGTATTTTCACATGAAGAAATCTAGTTTGGCTGTTCAAATTGGAGCTGTTTTGGCCATTGTAAGGCATGAGTCTTTTGTTTCTATAAATTTCTATGATTTTTTTTTTTTTGCCTTTTTTTTTGTGGGGGTGATGAAATTTAATGGGAACTTGTCCTAGCAGGTTGAGCAGCCTGCCTTTGCTGTAACTGGAGTTAATAATGAGCAAGATCTTACATGGACTCTAATACAATTGGGAGTTGTTGCCTTTTTCTACTTCCTTGTTATGCCAGTGAGTGATTTCTTTTCCCTTTTATCTTTACTACTTTCTGTTTCAATAAACTTATTAACTTTTTCCTTTTTTAATTAAAATTTACTATGCATCTCTTGTGTTGAACTGCAGCCAATCATTATGAACTGGCTTAGGATAAGATGGTATAAAAGGAATCTCTTAGAGACATATTTCCAATTCATGTTTGTCTTCATCTTCTTTGCTGGGTAAGTCCTCTTTTTCACTTGGTTTTCTTTTAAAATTTGGACAACTTAGTCCTAAAATGATTGAAATAAACATGTTTGTCCAATCACTCGGTTCAATTTCCTTAATATAGGTAGAGGCGTCAACAAGAGTTGGTAAAGAGAAGAAATTTTCAATTATTTTCTAAAAGTTCTTCTTAAGTTACCTCACTTATGTACATATGCGTCTCACTTTTGTACATATGCGTCTATGAATAAGATTTTTTTTTTTTTTTTTGGGGTTAGAAGCCTATGTATAAGGTTGGTTAATAATTCCATTGTTTTTCTCCCCTTGGACAGTGTGCTTCTTTGGGCACCATTTCTGAACTTCAGGAAATTCCCCCGGGATCCGTCCATGAAGTATCCTTGGTCTAAGCCAGAAGATCCTTCAAAAATTAAAAATGCGTATCTGAAATACCCATTTGCCGAACCTGAAGATTACTCATGAAAAAACTTTAAAATGCAGAACGACCAAACAGTCTAGAGCTTGGAATGTGCGTGCCTGTATCGATGGCTAAAGCCCCTGATTATCATACATATTCTCCAACCCCATATTCCCCAAACAAAAAGCATTGTAAATTTTTATTATCATAATAGTGTTATTCCTTAAATAACACATTACGTCATTTTTTATTACTCACTTATACCACTGATAGAAGAGCCTACAAGTGTTAACCTAGTCTCTCAAGTATCGTCTTCTTTGCACCTAAGATAAGATCCAACTTTGTAGGTGCTGGAGTAAAAGCTGTGAAGCTACTGAGGTGAAACTGTGAGGGTCAATTGTGGAACCAACGAACAAATCAATTCTTGCATCACTTAGCTAACAACCAATATCCATATGACTAAAAAGGGAACTACAAAGGGAAAAATAAGCGATAAGATCAATAAAAATAACCACCAGATGCCAGAACCAAAAATTGAAAATTAATTGAAAAAAGAAAAAGACCCTGCCAAGTATTCCTTTTTCATATAGATACCAGACCAAAGCTACAAGTGTATTCAACTCTTCTGCTTTTTTGCCGGCACTATAGATGTCAGAGGTAAATATGCTTAAAAGTGTTCCCAAGAGATGTCAAAAAAGTAAGGAAAAGTCCTAAATGGCACAAACCATCTTATAATTTTAAAGCGGTATTAACCTTTCAACTATTTTTGCTACTTCTTTCCCCACATGGAGATGCAGAAAAAAAGTATACAAGAAACTTCTGCCACCTTATTCAGGGGAAACTTTGCCCGCGCGCTAGATGCTGTATGACAAAAAGAAATTGATGCTTTGCATCATTGACGGCTGAGGCAGAGAAACCTTTCTCCTCAAATAGACAGATGACCGCTGAAAGCCGTAGCCAGTTTCTGCCAATCGAAAGACTCAATGTTTGGGGACACGACAGCAGCGCCTACAGCCAAGGCAATAACAATAATGGCTATGCTTTTCATGCACCCATTTCCGCGGGATAGCTTTCCCAATATCAGCTTAGAATACTTGTCTGCATCCTTGAGGAGTGCTTGTTGAGTAGCATCTGCCCCACTAGCTAATGCCTTCTCATTCTATGGAAACAACAAGCATAAATCAAGTCAATACTTCTATACCATTTGACAAATCATTTACTAAGTGCATCGTTGATTCTAAAATGGAAAGAAAGTCATTCGATTAAGAAAGTCATTCGATTTGCAATTTAATGATTACGGAAGCAACATCATGAAAAATCTCCAAAAATATAGATAAGGTACCTTGTGCCTGAAATTCTTCAGAGTTTCTCTCATAGGATCAAGAGGGGACAGTTTCACTGGTAGCTCTTTCCAATGGTCAGAGAGCTTTTTCAGGACAGCTACACTTGCTTTGAGATTGTCTTCGTAAACCTTGTCCTGTTCAGAAGTTACACAGGATAAGCAGGCTACGTAAGTCGGTTCACATGGTTGAGACATAGAAGCAATATTAAAAAGAAAAGGAAAACAAATAATAATCTTGAATAAAGAAAGAGCATCGGTAATAACTAGAATTGCTCACCCACTGCTTGTAACATTCAGCATTCTGGGTCAGGCACCAAATAAAAACTGCAGATGCTTCGTTGGCCAGTTCAGGAGTGCCTGCGAGAAGCAGCTATCTCTCAAATCCAATAAAAACCTTCTGTGTTTTCTTAATTTTCAAGAAAGAAAGTAAGTGATAAAAAAGGAGTAGATTGAGTTATCATACTTTCTCCAGCAGCCTTAATAGCAAAGCTTTGTATCTGTTGTGCAACTTGTTTCATTGCTTTGCTTCCGGGAGAGCCAGCAAGAGCGACCTCTTTTAGGGTGGGGTATATAACCTCAAACCTCTCGGTTGCCTAAAACACAGCATTTTAAAAGTATGCTTCATATATCATGCATCGAAAGATGAGAAGACGCCCCTGCACCCAGATCCCAATAAACAGATATACTCACCTTAACTCTGGCTGAAGATGCTGAAAAGGTAACTCGCATTAGTATCTCAAATGCAGAAGGTGGAACCAAACGCTCACCCCTTCTGACAGCACCATTTACCAAAATAGTAAGAGCTTTAGGGGTAGACAAGATCCTGGTATGGGAAAAAAAGGAAGAGGTTTCATTTGAGAATGAAGAATTCAAGAAGCCAAAAAAAAAAAAAGACAGAGAGAGAAGTATTAATGCTTAAATACCTCTCAACTAGCTGTAAAACCAGATCCCTGGACTGTGGATTATTGCTTTTCCCACTGACTAAAGGCAAGAGATTGCGTGCCCATGCATACAAACCAACAGCCAGATCTCCTTGACAGGCCTATAAAAAAATAAGACTATATTGACACGAGAAGCAAAATGTGGGACAAAATAAAAGAACAAAGAAGAGGCTTTACTAACTTACCTGGAGTATAATCCATACAATAAGTGGAAGCTTATCTTGCCCTTGATATTTTGGAGTTTCCCGCAACTTTGGCAATATGTAAACTAATACATCAGGTTTTCTTCGCAGCACCATAGCTATGACCACAAATATTGCAACCTGGGGTAACATAGAGGGTCATCATAAATTTGATCACACTATAAGAAGTTATAGCATTATGAAGTGTGGAAAACGCAATCTATTAGGAAAGTTTGAAATTTATATTTTGTATCCCTAGGATTACGGTAATCAATTAGTTTCCTGATATCCCATGAATAATGGGATAAGGTGTAATCTAGGAGATTCTACTTTTGTGCACAAAACCCTAAGAGGGCCGGCTGTATAAAATTAATTCAAAGAATAAGAAATATTTTTTCTTCTCCTATTTTTCCACATGGTATCAAAGCCCTAGGTTTCCTAACTTACTTTATTTTTCTTAGGCCTTCATTGTCGTTTCTTTCTTGGCTTTCATTGCCAAGCCTCATCACAGGGCCTTTATTGCCCATATCCATCATCACTCTCTCCAGAAGCCTTCATTGCTGCTATTTTTTTTATTTTTTTTTTGAAGTTCTATTGATTCGCTGCCGCAACTTTGACCACTGCCACTCTATACGGACTGTACAGACACACCGAAACTGTCGTTGCCTCTGTTCGCTGCTATCATGTTCTAATCAAGGCCTTCATTAGCAAGGGTTGTTTTTTCTTTTCTCTGCCCTATCGCCACTGCTGTCAGGACGCTTCCGTAAGAGAGTGCCTGGATTGTATCAGCCTTCATCGCTGGTATTCTGTTTGACACAACCGGCCTTAATTGCCTGGAGACCGCTTGGTTTGATTGAGGATGTCGGAGGTGGCAAGACAACCGCTACAACACGGTCGGAGGATGCAGAAACCGTTAGGCCTCAACAGGTCGAGGAATTGCAGAACATTCAGGCCGCATATAGGCTGGGTGGAAAAAACTACCTTAAATGGTCCCAACTTGTTCAGACTGTGTTGAAAGAGAAAGGAAAAATCAGTCACCTCTTAGGGACAGGACCAAAACCGGAAGATTTACGATTTGAAGCGTGGGATGAGGAGGATTCGAAGATCATGGCATGGCTGTGGAACTCCATGACTCCGGAGATTAGCGATACATGTATGTTCTTGGCCACTGCCAAGGATATATGGGATGCAATTCAACAAACATACTCTAAGGCGAAGGATGTTGCTCAAGTCTACGAAGTCAAAGGAAAGACAATCGTTGCAAGACAAGGAGGAAAGAACGGTCACTGAGTATGCGAATCAAATGAAGGCCCTATGGCAGAACTCGATCATTATAGGGTGATTAAAACCAAGTGTCCTGAAGATGCTGCAGTTATCAAGACCTTTATTGAGCAAGATAGAGTCTATGATTTTCTTGTTGGACTCAACCCGGAGTTTGACTTGGTGAGAATTCAAATTCTTGGAAAGCAAGAGGTCCCATGTTTCAATGAGGTGGTGGCAATCATTTGGGGAGAAGGGAGTCGAAGAGAAATAATGCTTGAGCCAAAGAACACTGATGGCTCGGCAATGTTGGCTAGTGGCGGTAGCAACCCAGCCATGACTGCAGAAAAGGCACCGGCACTTGAGAATGTCAAGGATGGTCAGTAGAAGACCCAAAACCGAGACTACAAAAATACTTTATGGTGCACTTATTGCAAGAAGGCACGCCATACCCGTGAGAAGTGTTGGAAGCTGCATGGGAAACCACCAAGTCATGAGTCGGGGCAGAAAGGAGAGCAACCGAAAAGTCATGGACAAGCTCATGTTGCAGCAGGGCAGCAAAGTGAGGGAACACTGCAAGAGATGGGGAGTCTTAGCCAAGAGGAAATCGAACGAGTAAGATCCCTTATAGGCAATCTCGACAAACCGTCAAGTACTTGTTCATTGGCGTATTCAGGTGAGTCTTCATTTTCCATTGGATTAAATGTCTCAGATACAACCCTTGCCGGCTCCTGGGTCATTGACTCCAGTGCTACCGACCATATGACCCACTCACCAAACATGTTTGCCTCATATACCCCATGTTCAAGCAGTAAAAAAATAACTACCGCAGATGGAGCATTAACCACTGTAGCAGGCATAGGATATGTTAAAATAAGCCCATCATTGACATTAAAAAATGTTCTCCATGTTCCTCGATTGACTACGAACCTTGTTTCTGTCCAAAATCTTACCAAAGATTCACATTGCAGAGTGTTTTTTCACCATAGTTATTGTTTATTTCATGACGAGGGTTCGGGGAGGACGATTGGACGTGCTAGAGAACAAGATGGACTCTACCTTCTTGAAACACCTAGTCAATCAAGCATTACCAAGGGCACAACATCTCACTCTTTTGTCTCAGAACTTCTCTCATCAAATAAAGAAAAAATTTGGCTTCACCACCGCCAACTTGGCCATCCATCGTTTAGGATTATCAAAATTCTGTTTCCTTCCTTATTTAGAGGTCTAGATATTGAATATTTTCATTGTGAAGTGTGTGAACTGGCTAAACACAAACGTGTACCTTTTCCAATCAGTAATAAAAGAAACTCTATTCCTTTTTATCTCATTCATACTGATATTTGGAACCCTTCTACTATTCCTAATGTGACAGGGGCAAAATGGTTTGTCTCATTTATTGATGATTGTACTCGAGTCACTTGGATATTTTTGCTTAAACAAAAATCCGATGTCAGTAATGTCCTACCAAATTTCTGCTCTATGGTAAAGACCCAATTTGGGGGAGATCCGACAATGCTAGGGACTATTTCAATCAAGTCCTCACTCCATATTTCCAAAAGGAATGAATCATCCATGAATCATCATGTGTCAATACTCCACAGCAAAATGGAGTGACAGAATGGAAAAATGGTCATCTTCTCGATTCCACCCGATCCTTTATGTTCCAGAAAAATGTGCCTAAATCCCTTTGGGGGGAAGCAGTTCTTACATCTGCACATCTTATAAATCGTTTGCCTTCTAGGGTTTTGGGTTTCAAAAGTCCAACGGACGTGCTTTCCTCATTCTATCCAAATGTACGCACTACGAATAATCTGGTTCCTAGGATATTCGGGTGTGTGGCATTTGTCCATATCCATACTCCAAACAGGGGGAAATTAGATCCAAGGGCAGTCAAATGTGTTTTTGTGGGCTATTCTTCTACTCAGAAAGGATACAAATGTTATCATCCTCCCTCAAAAAGGTTCTATGTCTCGGTTGATGTTACTTTCCATGAAGACAAATCCTAATTCAATGATCCTTATCTTTAGGGGGGAGAATTCAATAGTGGAAGATAAGGACAGGGGGGATTTTCTATCTCTTGATCTTCATCCATCAAAACCCGAGTTTCCCCAGCCTCACTCCACTGAACCCGAGCCTGACAACCTAAATTCTGCCATTGAGAATGTAAGATTTGGCAAAGGCAAAGTATTTTCAAGAAGGAAGAAGGCTATCCCGGAATCTGTGCAAGTTCAAGACTCCAACCCGAGCTCTGGAAATGAGGTAACAATTTCTAATCCTTTTTTCTGAAACCTACATGAATAATAATGATCAGGATCTTCCCATTGCCATTAGAAAAGGAGTTAGAGAATGTGTAAGTCGACCTCTATACCCACTTGCACAATTTCTTTTCTTTGAAAAATTCTCACCCAAGCATTTCTTGTCAGCCTAAATACTATTGCCATCCCTACCATTTTGTCTGAGGCTTTAACTGATGAAAAATGGAGACAGGCTATGAATATGGAGATGGAAGCATTGGAGAAGAACAAAACTTGGGAGCTTGTGAAATTGCCTGAAGGGAAGAAACCAGTGGGATGGAAATGGATTTACACCGTGAAATATAGGGCAGATGGTTCAATAGTAAGATACAAGGCGAGGTTGGTTGCCAAGGGGTATACCCAGACCTATGGGATTGATTACCAAGAGACATTCGCTCCGGTGGTTAAAATGAATACAGTAAGAGTTTTGTTATCATTAGCAGCCAATTATAATTGGGAGCTACAACAGTTTGATGTCAAGAATGTGTTTTTGCGCGGAGAACTAGAGGAGGAAATCTACATAGAGGTTCCACCGGGTTATGGTCATAACTTAGCTGCACACACAGTATGTAGATTGAAGAAGGCCTTGTATGGACTTAAGCAATCGCCGCGAGCATGGTTTGGAAGATTTGCAAAGGTAATGACAGCTATGGGATATCGGCAAAGTCAATGAGAACATACACTGTTTGTCAAACACTCATCTTTAGGGGGAGTTACAGTCCTCTTAGTATATGTTGACGACATAATAGTGACGGGAGATGATGATGAGGAAATGCAGCGTCTCAGTCGATGTTTAGCTAAAGAATTTGAGATTAAGATGCTAGGGAGGCTGAAGTATTTCATGGGAATCAAGGTGGCTCATTCCAAGCAAGGTATTTTCATCTCACAGCAAAAATATGTTACAGATCTTCTCAAAGAAACCGGGAAGACCGCGTGCAAGCCGGCGAGCACTCCAATAGATCCAAATTTGAAGCTCGGAGAAGCAGAAGAAGATGTCGCAGTGGATAGAGAGATGTATCAACGCTTGGTGGGGAGACTTATCTATCTTATCTCATACTAGGCCAGATATAGCATACGTGGTAAGTGTGATTAGTCAATTCATGCATAATCCGAAGGAGGCACATCTACATGCAGCATACCGAGTATTGCATTATCTCAAAGGGACACCAGGCAGAGGTATTTTGTTCAAAAGGAATGGAGGAGTAGTGCTTGAAGCGTATACAGATGCAGACTATGCTGGGTCAGTGGTAGACAGACGGTCAACTTCCCGTTATTGCACTTTTATTGGTGGAAACCTTGTGACGTGGAGGAGCAAGAAACAGAATGTTGTAGCTCGTTCTAGAATTCCAAGCGATGGCTCAGGGTGTGTGTGAATTGCTATGGTTGAAGATTATTTTAGAAGATTTGAAGATTAAGTGGGATGGCCCAATGAGACTCTACTGTGACAACAAATCTGCAATTAGCATGGCTCACAACCCAGTACAGCACGATAGAACAAAGCACATCGAAATTGACAGACACTTCATCAAAGAGAAGCTGAACAGTGGCCTGATTTGTACACCCTACGTATCTACACAGGGTCAACTTGTTGATGTACTCACAAAAGGACTTAATAGTTCAGTGTTTCAGAATCTTGTGTCCAAGCTAGGAATAGTGAACACCTATTCACCAGCTTGAAGGGGAGTGTGGAAAACGCAATCTATTGATTTTGTACATAGGATATATTAGGAAAGTTTGAAATTTATATTTTGTATCCCTAGGATTAAGGTAATTAGTTAGTTTCCTGATATCCCATGAATAATGGGATAAGGTGTAATTCAGGAGATTCTACTTTTGTGCATAAAACCCTAAGAGAGCCGGCTATATAGAATTAATTCAGAGAATAAGAAATATTTTTTCTTCTCCTATTTTTCCACATTAAGTAACCAAGAGGGAAATGGCATTTCTGCAAAATTTGGCTATTCTTTGAATCACTACTTCTGGGTGACTAAACCCTCTCCCAATACTACTTACATGTCAAATCTAATTAAATAAGTTGTGGGTTACAAACCCCATTTGTTTTCCTTTCTTGTGTACATGTCTTGTAGATAATAGATTTCAAATATAATAATCTGAAAAACGGTAATCAGTCGCATTTTATCATGCGAGAAGCAAGCCAAGATGCAAAACAAGCACGGCAAAGAAAAAGCATAGACGGCATTTGCAATTACCTGAGATTTTGATGAAACGTGCTGAACACCCTTTTTGGAGCCTTTAGCACCAGCGTGCTGACTTGCAAAGTCAGCCAAAAGGCTATCTAAAGACCATAATACAAAAGTTCCAAGTTCCTCAACGGAGTGATGGTTGATCCAATCAACAGACGTCTTATAAACAGCATCAGGAATATGAGAAAGGGGAACCTGTGCAAAAAAGAATAATCACAATTAGGTCCCCAGAATTACACAAAAGGCCTAGGTGAACAATGTTCTAAAATAAAGTACAAGGACAAGAAAGGTAGTAGGACCATCCCATGATAAAGATGGGAAAACCAATTTTGCACCATATCCTAGAAGTCACAGATAGACTAAGAAGCTAACAGAAACATCAAAACAGAAAACCTGTTACTCAACACAGCAAAATGTCAGAGTCGCAACAAACGTTGTGAGACAAACTTCGAAGTGTATTTGATATAAGTCTCCACACTCAAAATTCAGTTTCTATTTAGAACTTCAATTTGGCGTCCTTTAAGAAGATAAAAGGAAAAGAAGGCACATAATAGGGACCCTAAATCTGTTCCATAATGTATGCGGGAGATTCCTACCTTAAAAGAAAATTAAGAGCCTGACAAAGATGGCCACTATAAAAATAAAAAAAAATAAAAAATAAAAAATAAAAAACCCCCCTTCATATGCATCAGTCTCCACCAACCAAGGTTAAGGAAACTTCAGGCCTTCAAGCATTCTCTCTATTCCCGTCCTAGGAGTACATCACCGCAACAGCAGACCATAGAAACCCACTAATCTCAAATAATCGTTCCCCATATAACTTATCGACTATAAGAGCTAACAAGAGATAGAAATAGCTCATACTACAGGGAATCCCACACACAGTTTGAAAAGAGTACTCAATCAAAATTCAAAATTCAGTACTAGATTGAGCCTTGATAAACGTTGAAGCGTAACAAAAATCACTTTTATCCATATCGCTTTCTTGAATGACCCAATCTAAAATAAAATTATCACATATTGCTTTCCAAGAGATTTGACATCACAAATACAACATTTGTGAAAGTAGAACAGAAAAGGAGGCAAAAAAGTGTCTTCCATTACAACACGCCGGGTGTATTTTGCCAAAAATTTAAAAGTCCCAAAATTCCATACAGCATACCGTATTTTTCAAAAGAAAATTGTTTCAAGGAATACCTAGTTCAATTTCATAACCAATTATGAATTTACGTATCCCAATTTAGGCAATCATATCACAAAGCAACATGCATGTTGATAGGTATGCCAAATAGCACCAGCCTAATGAATTCATATTCTATGAAAATGCTCAGCACCATTTTTTTTTTTTTTTGACAAATGCATATGAGCACAGAAGATAAAGAATCTCTAACTCACATCGGCAATCTTGGCCACCGTTGACTCTCTGAACATCTTCATCCATGGAAACTGCGCCGAGCTCACCCCCGAGAATGCGCGCCCGAAATAGTCGGCGAACCGCATCAGCCTGATGTCCTGTTGCGTCTCATACGATGCCTATCCATAATTCCCAAAATAATGAATAAATAACTAAATAAATGAACAACAGAGAAATAAAAATGTACCAATTGAAGCTGAATTACGATCTCAATCGATAGATTAAAGTAGATCAGAGCAAGAACTGCAAGAAACTCACTGTAATTTCCGCAAGAAACGCCGAGAGATGGTTTGGATCGATCTTCGCCGCGGCTTCAGCCACCGTAACCTTAGGCTTCTTTGGTTTCTTCGGCTTCACCTTCTTCGTCTCCTCGGGCTTTCCGTTCTCCGCAGCCGCGATCTCCTCATCGCTGTCCTCATCGTCATCGTCGTCGTCAGACCTGGCCTTCGATCTGGCCGGAGCGTTACCGTCGGCGACGCCATTGGCCGCCCTCTGAGCTTCGAGAATTCGCCGGCGCCGATCCTCCGACTGCTGCTCCAGAGACCGGAACACATTATCGCCGCCGGCGAGGGAACCGTTGGCTGCGATCTTGGAAGTGCCGTTGGCGAGAGAATCAGAGACCGCCGCCGCCGCCGAGGGTTTCGTCTTCCTCTGGCGCTTGGCGTAGGTCACCTTCTGCCAGCCATGGTCGTTGTTGCCGGTGCTATTGTTGAGGTTGTTCACGGCGATCTCTTGATCCTCGCTAGGGATCGATTCCAAAGCTACGTGCTTTTCCTCCATTGATTTTTGCTTTCACCTGAATTTTCTCTTACTTTCCCACGGGAGAAAATGAGAATCGAGGAAAAGTTAGTGATTTTAAGGAACGCGAGAGAAAAGAAAGGAAAATGGAATGAGAAGGAAAAGAAAAAAAGAAAGGGAAAAATCGATCTTCTTGTCTGGGAAGTGATTTTAAAGCGTTGACTTCGCTAACTTGACCTCTTGTTTGTACGGAATTACAGCTGTGCCATCCACAGTGTTATTTTCATGTTCCGATTTTTGTGATAAGATAATTGAAAAATATCTTGTAATAAGTGACAATTTGTTTATTATAGTATATTATTTGATTCTCATATACTCTAATATTTATATGCATCTTAATGCGATATAATAAATTTTTATCCTTTTTCAAAAAAAATTAATAAATATTTTATTCCATGAAGATTGATGTTGTATTGTCTTTTTATGAGTTAGGAATTTATTTCTCCTTAAAAAAGTGTTATGAGTGAAAACGTGGGGCGAAATGGGAAATGTGAGTGAAGGCGAGGAAAGATCGGGCGGTAAAAGAGAGGGCAAAAAGGTGTGTGGGGTTGCGGGGGTAGTTGGGAATTGGTTTATGATAAATGCCTGCCTAATTTTTGAAGAGTGAATTTTTTTTTTTTTCCTTCGCAGGTCAAACAATTCTGAATTCTGCGAGGGGAAAAATAATCCACGTGGGAGGGTCACTTTGACACTTAACACACATTTGCAATTTCTGGCCTGTTCAGTTCGTTAATTCGAGTTTTTAATTTGAGTTAAGATGTGATGTTATGTGAGAGTTTTTTACTGTAGCAAAAAATTTAGATGTGAGTGTTTCTGAGAGCTTTTTACTGTAATAAAACTCGAATTCTAAACTCAAATCAGCGAAAAGAACGAGATTGATGAAATACAGCAACACGAATAAATTGCAATTGGTATAGGTATTTGGTATGGTGCATAATTTATACCACTTTCGTGGTACCCTCAACCTAATAAAAAAGTGACATTTAGAGCTTGTTTAGTTTGTTGATTTGAATTTTTAATTCAAATTGAGATGTAATTTTATGTGAAAATTTTTTATTGTAGTAAAAAAGTTAGATATGACTATTTTTTAAAGTTTTTTACTACAGCAAAACTCAGATCGGTTAAATGAACGGAGCCTTAAGAAGTTTGTACTATGATTTCAGGTGCGAAAGTGTAATAAAACGGATTGAGTAAAAAAATTTCATAAAACTTTTGATGAACGTTATAAATTATATTAATTTATGTCTAAATAAATTAATCTAATTAATTTAAAAATATACCTAACAACCAATTAAAACGATAACTTGAGTTTTTTACCACTAATAATCTAAGTGTTCTGGTTCCGTAACGCCCGCCGTTTTCTTATACGGATATTTTAGAAACCTTAACGTTTGAAAATGATATTTAATAATTATTTATGATTTATGTTAGATAAACTAATGTTTTATTTAGTTATGTCGCAGGTGACGGCCACAAAGGACCGAAGTTCTGAAAGTGTTCGTGCCAAAATTATATGTTAAAATAAAATTTAATTTATATTCGTGTACTTTGTGATACGATTATGACCTGTTATGTTATTTAAATTATGTCAGTTTATTATTTTTGCATCACGTGCCCAAAATTATTAATAATTATATAAGTCTAATAAATTTTTTTGTGTGACTTATTTGTTATTCTTGTCCTTGAGTTTTTTGTTCATTTAATTATTTAATATATATAATGATTTTTTATTTAAATATAATTTTATATCATATATAATATAATACTGTAATGCGTATGTTATAATAATATTTATATATAATATATATGATAAGGTGACTTATAATATTTATATATATTATAATAGCCGAAGTCACCGCAGACTTGGCAACTTTCGTTGCCGAGTGATAATAGAGGTTTAATTAAAAAAAATGAAAATAATAATAGATAAAAAGAGAGAAAAAAAATTTTCCTATTAGGTTTAGAAGGCCCTATAGTATATATACCTAAGTAGTCTTATAAGTCACATTCAACCTTCAAAATTTTCACATGCCTCCTATCGCTCTTCAAAATAGAATATCTCTCGCTTTCTCTTTTTCTCTCTCCATTTCCTTCATGCACGCTTTTGCCCTATCACCAACGCTTAAAAGAATTCTCAAGAGAGAATTCATCACTCTTCAATCGCCTTCCTCTTTTTTTCACGCCACTTTAGAAGAATTCTTTTTAAGGATTTTATGTGCAAGCCATAGAGTTTGCTCAGCAAATTAATAAAAATTCAATGTATGGATTTTATGCTTTATTGATAGAGGGTTTTCATGAATGCTATGTGAGTTTTATAGATTGTACTAAAAATAATTCTAGAATTTGGTTTGATTGATAATTCTCATGGTATGATTAAAGTGTGTTTCTAATGAATTTGAATTATGGGTATGTTTAATTCTATGATGTTAGCATTATATCAAAATTTTTAGGTTTTATGAATTACCTAGAATTTAATAATGAATTTGATTCACGATTGGTTAAGATCTCTAGAATTTGTGAATCATGTGATTTCTAACTTTCAGTAGGTGTAAGGGTTGAAATAATTTTATTTTACAGTGATTTTGGGATATGTCATGTTTTTATATGTTAATATTATTCGGTAATTTTTACGAATTTTTATATAATTTTGTTATTATAGATTTTTGATCCGTGACTGCTCACGGTTTCATGTTTGCTAACAGTTGGATGGCATCGAGGAATTCATCGACTGAAGAAAAATTCAATGCACAAATATTGCTTAGAAGACAATTAAATGCCTCGTTTATTTCACCGATTTGAGTTTAGAATTCGAGTTTTGCTACAGTAAAAAGCTCTTAGAAACAACTACATCTAACTTTTTTGCTACAATAAAAAATTTTCACATAAAGTCATATCTCAACTCGAATCAACGAACTAAACGGGCCCAAAATGTTCTAGATCAAATAGCATCTTCTGCAGATCTGGTACGACATAACAAACTATTAATTTAGTTTCACGATGAGTATTTATTTATAACATTTTATAAATGTATGGGTCTTGAATTTTTATCTTTTATACTTAATTAATATTTTTTAGTCAAAAAACTATATTAGTCAAAAATGTATTAATCAAGAGTAAAGAAAAAAAATCTTAGAATAATACATTCAAATGGTGAGTTCACTAATTTTCCCTTAATTGAATGACAATTGTTGATTTTTAAATAAAGTGGCATAGATACTATCTTTTTACCATCTTGAGTGGTATTTCAGTTTTTTTTTTTTTTAGAAAGAGAAGAGTAACGGCCTTATTTTTGTTATTCTTGGCCTTATTTTGTGAATTCTTGCTAAATTTTCCACAATATTTCGAGAAATTAGGTCATATTTTATCATTTCTATTTTTTTTTCTCTTGACAAATACCAAAAAAATTCAACAATATCCTCATTTCTATTAATGAGATTAAGTAAACAACTTGTTTACTTTTAGTAGTCCCCTAGTTAATTCAGCGGAAAATTTCTTCTACGTTTGTTAAATAAGTAAACCAGTGGTTTACTTTTTATTCATTATAAAACCTTGTGTTCACTTTTTTAATTCCACTTTTTTTTTCTAAAGGCCAAACAAAAAAGAATTACGTAAGCCACTAATTCAATTGTGTAAACCAGTCGCTAAAATGTCACAATCAGTTTTTCAAATCGCAGACTCCAAAACTGGATTAAGGAATCTATTGATTCACTTTTATCACAATACCTGTTTAATTTATTAATAAAACTCTTCAAACTATAAAGCATGTTAATTTCATTAATTTAAATTTAAAATTTGAATTTTACTGTAATAAAAAGTTCTCAAAAACAGTAATATGTAACTTTTTTACTACAGTAAAAAGCTCCAACATAAAATCACATCTCAACTTAAATTAAAAACTCAAATCAGCGAACTAAACGGACCATAAATATATATATAACGTTAAATCCTAAATTTCCTACAACAACAATTGGAGGGTAGAGCACTGAGAAAATAAGACAAATACGGGACAAAATTTATATTAATTTTTCTTGATTAATAACATTTTTAGTTAAATAATTATACTAGTAAAAGATTATTAATTAAGAATGAGGGGTAAAAATTCATACACATATACTCTTAAGAGTAAATTTTATAATTTTTTCTAACTTATTTTCTTCTTTCAACTCTCTTACTTTTTTTTTGGAGTAATTTTAACAAATATCCCTTAAAATGGTACCATTAAAGATTTTTAAGTCTAAACACTAGCCTATTGAATTTTATAGGAAGTAAGTAATTTGATAGATTATTATCGATAATTTGACAGATATTGTCAATGGGGTCTTCGATCACCGACGGCGGGTGTAATTTAACAGATCTTTATCTAAAATTTGATAAATTATTATCTATAATTTAAAAAATTATTATTAAAGATAGTCTATCACAATAAAAGGATAAAACTCCGAAACTACGTGTTTAAGGTAGTTTTTGCAATTTTCTCCTTTTTTTTTTTTTTTTCCATTGCAGTATCCCAAGCCCAATGTGCGAGCATAAATTGGACCAACTTGGGCTTATCTTGATCCAATCCTTAGAGCTCATTCGGTGCCTTTTTTTTTTTTTTTTTTTTGAAGAAAATTTTGGTTTGTTCACTCATAAATTACATAAATAATAGGGCATTTATATATTGTTTTAGAACTTCTTTCCCTTTTTTTTCTTCCGTAGACTTTTGTTTCAGAACTTGGCAACATGGATTTGAAGTTTTAGTAATAGCTCTTTACACATATACCAAAGTGTAAATATCGCAAAAATTTTAAAATATTATAATAGCAATTTTTTTCTTTTTGTAAATTATCATTATATCGCAGAAAATTAGACATAATTATGATAATTATTACATCATTTTTTGCTATTTTTGTAATAGTTTAAAAATTTTGCTTGTGGTGTAATTATCTCTTAATATTATGCATGCATGAACTAGCTCGTTTCAACAATACGTCAACTTCGCAGACAACGAATTCTAGACTAACGAGATCAGCTTTAGTCTTTTTTTTTTTTTCCTGGTATTTACAACACGATACATGAGTACATTTGCTTGATATTGCACTGTATATTTAGGATTTCCAAGTCGG